ATTGGCCTCCATTGTTTGGGCAAGCTTCTGATGATCTTCTTAACGTGATCAACAGTAGAATACCCTTTATCAATAACCTTTAGTCCAGCAACAAGAATTTGAAATCTTGAAAACATAGTTTCTATTGATTCACTATCTTCCATCTTGAATGCCTCATACTTCTGAATGAGCGCAAGGGCCTTGGTTTCTTTGACTTGAATGTTGCCTTCATGCGTCATTCTCAGATAGTCAAACATATTCTTGGCAGTTTCTCTGTTTGATATTTTCTCATATTCTGAATATGAGATGGCGCTGAGGAGAATTATTCTGGCCTTGTGGTGGTTTCTGAATTCACGCTTTTGCTGATCAGACATCATTTTCCTGTCTATCTTCTGACCACGTCCATCCACTGGATGCGTGTATCCATCAGTCACCATGTCCCGCAGATCATCATCATGGGCCAGAAAGAAACTCTCAATTCTGTCTTTCCAGTAGTAAAAGTTTTCTCCATCAAAGACTGGAGGTTTTCCACTGAATATGTCCTTGTCTTCATGGTTGTCATTGCTGATGTTTTGGCTTGGTCCCACCATAGTGTTTTTCTGAAGCTTGGATCTTATACTGACACGGTTAAGTGTTTAAGCTCAGAACCAGGCGCTCTGATGCCAATTGAAGATGTGAAAAACACAAGAAGGGGGGTTGAATTGAAAACTTGAATCTAAATGCTTAATGACACAGTATTTTTATCCTGCTTCGTTTGATCTCAAACTACTCCAGTCCACCCGTCAAGGTGATTTCGCCTCTCTCCAACGAGGTCTTAATCCACTAATCTTAATAAGATTACAAAAGCTACTTTAACAACTGTTAAAGTATTCTGAGTACAACCACAGTCCGGTTAATCTCAAGGGACATTTTTTCAATATAATTATACAATATGTGTGTTGTTGTTTTTCTAATAAAAAACTGTTTATCACAACTGTGATAAATTACACAGGATTATAGCTTAGAGAAGTAAAATGAAATTGCTTGCAGCTTTGAATATGTATGAGTGGTTATTTTTCAATCTCTTTGATTTTGGAAGCTGACTATGTTTAAATAGGCAGTGGAATGACGTTGATCATAAAGCATGTTTAATATCATTAACACACTTTCCTTTTGGAGAAGATCTTGTCTGAAAGAAGCCGTTGGAATTGATGTTGTCTTGAATGATCAGTAACGCTTCAGAATCTTATCTCCTTTCTTGCTGATGATGCTTCAGAATACTTATGACTTGGATTGGTATGTTCTTGTTCAGAATCAGAGTTTACTTTGATTAAGCGTAGGTTCTGGTCATCAATCTTCAGCGTATGTTCTGATTGCTTCAGCGTGTGGTACTTATGGCTTATCTTCTGATGCTGATATGATCAGAACTTCTGCATACATAAATCATAATTTTTAAGGTGCATATTTGTTCTTTCTATTTTATATTTTATTCTTTGTATTTGTTATCATCAAAACTCTAATCAAGGGTTGTAGAATCAAACTATGTCTTAACAGAAACAAGCAATCACATATGATATAAGAAATTCACTAACAAAAACATCAAATAATTAACATAGATTGGAAGAACTTGATAACTAACCGTTTCTGGAAGCTATGAAGATTTGAAAACATGTGTTCTCTATGGAAATATTATATGAAAGACTCATATAATATTTCCATAGCGGACCACAAGTTCGCAACTGTCTTAGGTCCATGTCCATACAACCAGCTACATCACTGATAAGTAGAGAGATCCATAACCACTTGTTAGTTGCACGTGAAATAGCCTTTATTAACAAACAACACAAAACAACATCAACAACAACATCAATATCATACAATCATATTTATCAACAATATACATACCTTAAATTGAAATAATGATTGTCTCATTTAAACTCATAGCATCCACAATGAAAGGATGATAAAACTGAGGAGTCAGATGCAAACTTGTGTTAACAACAACATGCAACAATAATAACATACAACAATAAAAATACCATATCAAATAAGAATAAAATCGTATGAACATCATGTGAAACATAACAATAATATACACGAAAACGAGAGAATAAGGAAGAATAAGAATATCTTTATCTATGAAGGACAAGATTGACGGCTATATTGTAGAATATGGAAGCTAATGAAGAAGAAGAAGAGATAAAATGTGTGTTAGAGTTTTGTTGTGAGATACATCGATACTGTCAAAAAGTGAGAGTTAATTCACTTATATATGGATAAATACCAACCAACCATGGTGAAATGTAATGTCTTTCACAACGGTTTATTATACCAACCATTGTAATAGGTGTTTTAGTTTTAATATATATATATATATATATATATATATATATATATATATATATATATATATATATATAAGGAGATTGTAGCGAAAAAGTAGAAAATTATTGGAGCTGAGATTCAAACCATGTCACTCTGTGAATGTATAATCATGGTTAATTGTATTGACCGTAATGCAATATTTCTCTCATAAATATAAAAAACAAAATGTGTCCAAAAAGGATGTATTACCACTATTAACTGTAAGATCGTTGTAATTTAATTTTGTCAAAGGTATATTTCATAGTAGTGGTTGTGTTGTTTTAATTCTTGAGATTGTGATACTCTTGAGAATTGAGTGGTTCGTGAGATAAACCATTCATAAAATATTTGTTTTGGTTTATGAAACTTTGGCGGGGAAAATTTTGTTTTGGTTAATGAGATAAGCCTGAAAATCACTAAAATGGTTTGTTAGCTTAACATGGGGTAAAAGTTATCATGTAGTTGGAGATAAGCATGTAAAATCTCATGATCGGATTGTATTAAGGTTCGTGGACATAACTTGTAAAAGCTCATAGTCAAAACTCAATAAGATCTCTTAGAGACAGAAGTAGGTCAATGTTCTACCGAATGTGGATAAATCTCGGATGCAATCTCTCTAACCCTTATCCTATTTAATTTTTGTTATTTGCTTATTATTTTTATTTCCATTATTATATATTTTATCCTTGAGAAACTACTAGCACAATTTTAAGTATATTTGAGAAAATCACAAAAGTAATCGTCAATTTTAAATATCACAATTAACCCTCCCTCCTCCTCCCTCTCCTCAGTTCTAGTGGTCGAGTAGAAACACGTATTGCAAATCCCCGTCATGCAAAGTATAAGCAAGAGCTTGGGGCACAACTATTTTGACTATTTGCAAAGCCCAAAGACAAAAGGCTCAATGGTAAAATGGAAGCGATAGAAGCGCGCAAAACATATAGACTTTCTCCTCTCTAGAAGTAGACGATTTCACATAAGTGAGTTTTGTTGGCCCCGGATCGGTCTAACGGTTGACCGCAACCCACACCTTACCACACGCTTTCAGTTGTCAATTGCTTCTCGTATTTAAGAAAGAAAGTGTGTCATTTCTCGAGTATTCAAATCTTTTATCATTCACACATCATTTTTTTATTGTCTTACTGACTTGAACGTTTGAGTGTTAACTTTGTAGACCAGTCCCCACTCCACCGTATTGGAAGCTCAAGAACACTGCAACAAGTCATGGACGGTTTTACAGCCCAGCAAGCCCGGACACGCGCTCGGACTCAACTCCTACTTTTTTTGTATTCTCCCCAGCCTAATAGCCGATTTTTAGACAAAACCAGAGGCAAAATTAGTAAAAACAGGATGTAAAATTAGTAAAAAACAATGACAAAATTAATAAAAACATAGTGTAAAATTAGTAAAAATAAGATGTAAAATTTTTGTCCTAACTGTCTAAAATTCCTAATTACACCACTGCAACAAGTTATACCTCCTCATTTATCGATCAACTCTATTTTCACTTTCAGACAAAACCAAAAACAATTAAAAAAACATAAAATAAAGAACTTAAACTAAAACAGAAAACAAAACAACTCAGAACCAAAATCCACTTGAATCCTCATCTTTAAAATCAAATTAAAAAGAAACCAACAATGTCCACAAAACCGATATCCATTTTAATCGTTATTTTTAAAATTAAATTAAAAAAATCAAAAACGAACGATGTGTCCATATATTTTATTTTTTTGACGAAGATAATTAAGATTTATGTCCACATATCTCTTTTTTTGACGAATAAAATTTATGTTTACAAGTCTTAGTTTTTTAATGAATATGATTAAGATTTATAGAAGAGGAGAGAAGGAAAAAAATGTAAAAAAAATAATTATTGTTGACTATTAATGTCGTGTAAGAAATCCTGAGTCTATTACCATTTGGATGTTTAGTCGGCAAAATTTAGAAGAAATTGAGAGATACTAATAATTATGATTTAATAGTAATCGGTGTAATTAAACAATAATTGACGTTGGATTTAGTAGGAATTAAATACTAATGCTGAAAATCAATAATAAATTTAAGAGAGAAAATAATTAAATTTATTAGTAGGAATTAAATACTAATGCTGAAAATCAATAATAAATTTAAGAGAGAAAATAATTAAATTTATTAGACTGATATTGACTATAAATCATATCTATAAAAAAGGTATTTCAAATATAAATGGAATTAGGTCGGTTAAGAAATAGAAGACAAGGAAGCTGAAAATATTCAAATTCAATTATTTATGTGGATAGTTTAATTTAAACTTCTAAAATTCAATCCCCAACAACAAAATTTTATATTTTAGTAATTAGCATATTTAATCATATTTTTGGTTTTAAGAAAATATTTCATTTCATCAACAGTAAGTTGAGAAATAGAATAAATAGTTGCACGGATTAGACTCTAATTAGATCTTGAATGATTGTATTTGCTTGCATTTAATATAAAAACCAACTTATAATTTACTCAATATGATGACAAGAAAAAGAAACTAAAGTCGTGATTAGGAGGGGGAAAACTAAAAAAGAAGAGATGAATTTGAAGCAAAACATAAAATTACAGGGACGAAATAATAGAAATTTCACAGAAAATTCTTCCAATGAGTTAAGTTTAAAAGCAAATAAAATGTAATATCTATTCGGAATCCTTCACCTATGCTTCCGCTCTCTTGAATCTACTAACTCGTACCTCGATCGTCTCCGTTTGAAATGCCGATCATCGTCGTCGCTATAATCATCGTCATTTTTTCTCACTTCATAGAAGCCGTTTGACACGTGTGCCATTGAGGCAGTAGCTGATTCCGTTGTCTTTCTCTTTTTGGCAATGGCTTCCTCCTCGGCTGAGATGCTTATGCGAGAAAAAATGTTGCTCTTCTGCTTGCGATCGTTGTATGTGGTTTCTGGTCTGTGGTGGCTGTGCCGCTCATCCTCATGGTTGCGGCCGGAATAGTGCTCTGATTTTGATTTGTGAGGACGTGGTTGCTCATCCTCGTGGTTGCGGTCGGAATACTGTCCAGATGATCTATATTTCTGATCTGACGGTTGCTGACGTTGATGGGAAATAGGATATGCACCACCTGTTGACGCTGGATTTGGTTTCTGCACAGTAAAGAAATAAAACAATTGGGCCATTAGTTTTTTTTACCCATTCCTCAAATTAGAACCCAATAACATATGTATAAAAAAATACTACCATTCACCACACCTGTTGCATTATGATAAAATTTAAATATATCCAAAAACAACTTGTAAACCACAAAAAGTGGATTAATACACTCTCGTGTCTAGTTTTCATAATTTCAACACAAATTTGTGGCATTTGATTTTATATTTGCGTATTTTTAGCTTTAATAGATTATTACAATCATAATTACAAATTGTTTAAGAAATTATGATCTGATCGTCCATAAGATTGGATACATTATCGCTACCCCAAATGGTTGCAGTGTGTATTACAAATTCCAAAGTTAAGAAATACTACTACTATTTGAATGATATTTTATAAATTTCAAATAAACTTTGCCATTTCTTTTCATTCACTGCTTTCATCAAAATCACACGCAAAATTATTTTAATTGCCTAGTTTTTACACATAGATTTATCGCAATGTCAAAACCATGATTAACTTTAAAATAACTTTTCTTTGGGAAAAATAAATAAATTCTTATACGTTATTAATAGACCATTTGTTATCCATTGGAAAATGGATAACTTAAATCCAAATCAAGTTATACAAAATCTAGGATTTTCAAACTTTATAAATCTATCGTGCTAGTGATTTAAATCTCTTTTATGGTTCTTTCAAATCATTTCCATCAACCATGAATAACCCATAGAGAGATTTTGAAACCGAAATAAGTAACATTTTATAACAGCACTGCACCATTATCATATGCAGCTATCCAATATTTCATGATCATCATTTTCTTTTAAAACCCACTTTTAAGTTTTAACCGTTAGTTGCTGTTGACCATACAATAGCTCCCTTAACCATTTCATAAACAACCACGGTATAATTTGATAGAGAAATATTTTTATCAATAAATGAAGCCAAAATAAATAAGTGCCAAAGACTACAATAATTAAAGACATAAAAATAATAAATATCTACTGTAATGATGTTCTTTTGCATGCTTGAGGTTTCTGGCCAAACTTTTGGTAGAAAATCCACAAAAATTGAAAAACACATCCACAGAGAGAGCTGAAAATTAAGACAATAGAAAGCACATACTGTTTTTGATTTCATCGAAGAAACATCCCCAACACTGCTCACCTCCCTACCAAATTCCCGATCCTTGGAGAAGTCCCTGTTCCATGTATGTAATAAACTCGTTAAAAGCAATAAGACAATTAACATGGATGAGTTTCAAGCACTGCATAACAACATGCAAAAAGAGTCATGATGACATTGATCATCCATTTACAATATGTTACATGTCAAACACAACTTCAAAACTGAATTCAGTAGGTAATGAATGATGAGGAAAAATATCTTGTCTAAAGCAGTTTATCAAATTCCACAATATATTCTGCTTTTTCAAGCATAATATATTTCCATAGTGAAATAACAAAATTCATTATAGAATAGTAAATTTCCAAACAAAATCCCAATACCACACTGTTGGGAAACAAAAAAGTAGGAACTCAAAACTTCATACAGAAAGTAAAGGATACAAAATCCAGATGATAATGTCTTAAATGTTGCTATTTTACAAATGTACACGTATTTGACTTACATGTTAAACTCTATCAAACTTCCTAAACATGCATAACAGAACAAAACAAAGCCACCCAAGAAAAGTTCCATTAGTACCTTTCACCACATCTCTCATTTTCATGCTTCCTCCTCAGATTAGCATTCCGAGCATCAAACTCGTCTCTATTCATAACAGGTGGTGGAACATTCATCCCCATACCAAACTCAGCAAAATCCCTGGACGAATTCATAATTATCATATTACAAAATGGCATTCTAGAGAACAATGTATCAATCTATAGTCAGACAAACATGAAAACCACATTTACTATCAGTGTTCACTCTATAATCCCACCGTCAGCATTCAACAAGAGATAACCCAAATGAGTCTTGAAAGAGAAAGAGAGAAGGGGATGTGATGCAATATCAGAGGAAAGGCTGAAGTCATACCTATGAGGTGGAGCGACAGGCATCATGTATCCTCCTTGCATACCAAATGGGTCTTGAGACAGACCCCCTGCAAATGGCATGTCAAATGGGCCTGGGCCATAACCCATCATCTGCATTGGAGCAGCATATGGTGCCATAAATCCGTCCATGCAAGGTTGCATGCCATTCCAGTATGGATTATAACTAGGAGGTGGTGGGCCCATTGGCATTATATAGTTCTCTCCACCAAAGTCGTGAGGGGTTTTCCATTGTATATCTGCATGATAAATAAAAACCATTCAATGCTATCTATTACTAGACTAAAAACCTATGGATTGCCCTGGTACACTAAATGTTCCAGCAGTATGTAAAAGAGGATCTAGGAAAAAATTACTGATACTGAGAATCATGTCAGAAAAATGAGCGGATTTACCATTTGCGGGCATACGGACTTTCTTCTTTTTCTTTTTCTTTCCTGCGAAAATAAATAAATAAAATGAGAATGCCTTCAACAGAAAATCAACAAAGAACAAATGATTCTATGGCACATTCAACATTACCCGCATCAGTAGGAACCAACTTTTGCTGTACTTCTTCCTCAACCAGTTTAGCACTCCCTTGTGAGGCTAGTTCCTTCACACTCATAGACTCATGAGTAGCTTCAGATGCATCAGCCGCTCTAGGAATCTTCACTTGCTCTGATACCTGCTGTGTAGCAGAGACGGGCTTGTTGTCATCAGCTATTTCCTGTATATTTGTTATTCCTTCATTAACTGGTAGAGCCTTTGGTTCTCCCTTGGGGGTAGCAGATGAAGTAGGAGAAGGTATCATGGGCTGTTGACAACGAGAAGACTCCGTATCTGAAAAACAAAGTCAAATAAAAAATGTATACCTGACAAACTGATAGCCAATAATAGTGCAAGTAAAATTTAAATCATGATTGTTTCAATCACCTTGAACTTGGTAAGTGCTCCCAGCATTTTCAGTACTGCTATTGCCGGACTCCAATATGCGATTGATGGCATCTCTAAGCGTCTTATTTGGTAAAAGATCATCTGCAAGAACATTTGTTGCATGACATACGCATGCAGACTTGGACATAATATAGTCCCTAATACCTGAAGAAGGAAAAATCAGAATGATTCAAAATAAAATAAAAATCATATCCGATATATATATAGTTCAGGGAAAAAGTTGCAGAGAATTAAAACAACTAAAATACTTATTCTGATATGAGCTCTAGAGATACTTTAGTATAATACCTATTCTGAAAACAATATATAGAAGCAAAAAAACCTTACATTTGTCACAGAAGCTTTTAAAACAACACTTGCTTGTCAATACAGCATTTTTCATGACATTATTGCACAAGGGGCAGTGGAGCTCAGGTGGTAGATCACCAACTGATCGTGTAGATGACAACCCTTCCATTTCTTTATCAAAAGCAGCCCTGTTTGTAAGGAAAACATGAAACTCAATTTGACGTCAACATATAAAAGTACTGACATGAAGAATCAAAATGTACTCACTCATTTGGCTTCAAAACAGCTACTGAACCATTTTGTAAAGCATAGGAACCTTGTGGATTTACCATCAGCATAGATCTAGGAATACCAGTAGGTTGCCTGACTTTTTTTATGTCAAAAGTTGAATCACCATTTGTAGGGCAATGCTGAATGAAATGTCCTTCAAAAATGTAATAAAAGACGAGTAAGCTAAATAAACTGACACTGGTATCCAGCGTTCTGTAAATGGGAGGGTTATAAAGTTCAGAAATATGAACATACCGGGCACCTTGCACCTATGACATACATATCCTTCTGGAGGAGTTTTCCGCTCCAACCCTGCCAGACCCAAGCAAGTATATAAGCATTTAGTCCATGAATAAGTTAGTATTTGTATTCAGAGAAGCAAATCACCCACATATATACAGAAGAGAAAATAGATAGAGATAAATAATCACCAAAACCACGTCCACCTCCCATTCGTCCACCCATGCCCCTTTGAAAACCTCTACCAGGGCCAAAGTCTGAACCTTGACTGCATGCAAAAAAACAAAAGTGTCAATGTAAAACATCATATAGCTCAGAACTAGCATTTTCATGGAAAGAAAATTAAATTTGACATGTGAAATACAATCTTCGTTGAAAATGAGTTTTACGTAAACTAAGTTTCGATTTGATGAAACAAAGGAAATCTTAATAGAATGTCATTAAGGGAATAAGTAATTTATGGTTTGTAATTCCACTTGATGGGCGAAATGGAATGAGTCAAGGAGATGAGGGAATGTGGGGTAGAAATAATTTGGTATGTATCCATTTGGTTAATTTCTCAACAATGAAATAAAAATATTTCTCCATCCATTATAAAATATCCAAACATATTGTATAGTAAACATAGCCCACCCCACCCATTATACTCATCATTAGATATACAAACACAGCAATCGTTTGGTATGAAAACAAGAATTTTAATTTGAAATTTTTTTCTTTAAGCACCCATTTAATTATACTCATTACTCCATTCTATGCACCAAATAAGAAGGAGGATAATCTACTCACTGTTGCCAATCCAATGCCGGAGTATCAATCAAGGCCTTAATCTTACTGTCTTCGTCAGCATTGTTAGTTGGAGGAGCCTCTAGAATGATGTTGCTCGATTGAACAGGCAGTTGATCAGGAATCGAATATAAATCATTGCCAAATTCATCCCAATCCAAATTTTCAGGCTATTCAATGGAAGGAAGTTATCAATTTCCTAGGGACTGAATCTAAATTGTTCATACAAAAGAAAATGAAAAGAAAAAAGAGACTTACATATTTCATGGCAGATGTATCATCTGCCGGTAAGCTAATGTTCTCAGGTTCAGTTTTCACCACTTTATTTCCCACCTCTTGTCTACAGATAGCAAATGAACAATGCAATTTCTATTATTGCCACTATATATGAACAGGAACAACATGAATGATAAATTGATGAATATCCATTTTGATAAAGTTACATACACAATGCAACTTCAATTGGTGAGATATCAATGGTAAGAAATCAAACAAAACAACATTAATGAGAGTAAAAGGTTTGAGAAAGTACTGCAGTTCAGTAACAATTGGTAATCCTGTCCGTCCTGGAACACGTCTAATTAACACTGAAGTATTTTTAGGAATCAACATTTCTTCATCAAGGTATTCTGAAATTTCAAGAGACATGTCAACTATAAAACACTGTAAATATGATATTTCATGGAAAGCCTATTATAAGCACTATCATAATACAAATCTCACAGCAAATTTGGTTGCTGCTAACGCAAAAAGTGTATCTAAACATAATTTCAATTCTGATATTCAATGCCTTTTGCGTACAATATTTCAGTTAATGATAGATGGTAGTATAAAAACTTGTACTTAACATGAACAAGAAAGTATATTATGACCCTAATTAAGCTAAGAGAAAAATGATAAGAACCCTAATCCAGAAAATAGATAAATCAAAATAAGAACCGACCTTCATTGGTCTGGGCGTTGGTGACCAGTAGGTCGAAATCAGTACCCCTCCCTAAATGCTTGGATACAAAAATATTTTGTTTCAATGTGCCAACAGAGATGAAAGGACCATCCATGGAAATTGAATCGTAATCTTTTGCACTCTTAAATTTATAATACACCGCCATTATATTATAAATTTTTATTTCAATTAACACGTAAACAAATAATCAAAAGGCCTTTTGATATGAAAAAACAATGTTGCTATTGAAACTCAAAACAAATCAAACAGTACAGTATGTCAAAGCTATTTTTTTCTTTTTCTTTTCTTTTCTATTCTAAAGCAAAAATTGAACAAATTGAACCACCACAACAGTGAGAACAAATCTAAACTTCTTCACGCGCAATAAAATTCAGATTCCTTTCAGATCTTGATCAAGTGTGAGAAACAGTGAATCCAAATCCTCGCAAGCAACAATTAGGGTTTGGCGATGAAATCGAATCTTTATGAAGAGAACGGTGATATATGTTCCCTCGATGACAGCACGTTCTGGATCGGAGCAAACCTCGGGGATCGACGGCGAGCAAAATCTCCTCCGATTCTGTCTTGCGGCGGCAGCGTTTTATCGGAAGCAATTTCGAACGAATAACGGTGAAATTTATCGGAAAGACGATTAGGGCTATGGTTCGAATGAGAAAATAAGACAGAAGGGTAGGGGGATATATATTCTATTTATGTCGTATTCTCTACGCGCAATCCGTGTGGTAAATTAATATTGACCGTTGGATTTATCCAAATTTACGCGCCAAAAAACTAGGTTTAAGTTAACCCCTTTGTTTTTAGCCAAATTTTCAGTGTCATATTATTAGTCTATTTTTTTTTAGGACAGAATTAATTGATCACTAACAAAATTCAAACCAATGATCACCAAGAGCAAACTACATATACTACATATAGTTTTTCATTCAAAAATATTAAAATACATTAATTATTTGTTTTTCAATTTTGTTTTATATATATTAGCGTCTCGATAGATAATCTCGCGTCTGCCTTTTTATATGTTTACTTTTTTTTAACTGATATTTGCGCACATGAGAACATAATTGTATTATTATTTTTATTTAATCTTATATAACGGTTAATAAAAAAGAGTAGTTAAGAATTTAAAATAAAAATAGAAAATGATAAATTTGAAAGGAAAAAATACTACACCAAAGTTATGTTTTTTCTTTATATATAGGTATAGATAAATTAGTTTTTCTAATGTTTTTGAGAGGCATATCAACCTCACGCTTTTATTTCATCATTAATGAAAATTATAATTTTCAATTAAAATTTTAATTTTATGATATTTTTCTTTTGCATGAATAAAATTCAATTTGACAATATTCAAATTAATATAGATATTGTGTTGTCACAAATCAAGCAAAATATTTTTGTATCCACCAACTTGTTTAACTAGCATAAGTACGGTTATATGTGATGATTGATTGATTTTGAACGTATTTAAATACCATGACATTTTTTGAATAAGGTTCAAATATATTGAAAAAGAAAGGTTACAAAAAAGAGACTAGGTCAAACCAAAACTCTTTCAAAAGGAAAGCATATATAAAAAAATGTACTTCAAGCCTATTCTTCAATCAATTCTAATGTTAAAAGGTAATAGAACAAACTAGAGTGAAGGAATTAGATATGAGACCTAAGTTAGCGAAAGAGTTTATACAATTATGTCTTTCTCTATAAATATGAGATAACAAAAAAGAGATGGAAGAGGTATACCCTTTAAGAGTCTCCCATCTAAGCATAAGTTGTCAATGAACAAGAGCATTGACCCCAACAGTTTTGACTACCAAAAGAGAATTTGATTTCAATCCTAGATTTTTCCAATTGTAAGAAGAGGCGATTTCAATAGCCTTAAGGATATTAGAAAATTCAACAAGAAAGTAGGAAGACCAAGGTAAAGGCTCATAAATCCAACAATTAAATCACTTTTATTATAATCATGAATATGAGCTCCACAACAATTTCCTTGGACCCAATTTGGATTTCGAGGAGTCCATATGACCTCCTTAATTTGAGGAGCTTTAGTGGGATGAAACAGAATACTGAAAGCATGTCTGACTGCAAATTCATAAATGGAGTTTGAAGAAGAAAAAGTCTTGATCTTTTGATTATGGTGTTGATTTAAGACCTGACTTGTGCAGTGATAAACTCCATAGACACTCTTTTGTTTTTTAAACTAGTCGAACTTCTAGCAAATCAAATGGCATTGATGAGATAAATTAGAGTTGAGGCAAAGATTAGACTAGCATGCTTGGAACTACTCGTATCACCAAGCAACCATAACGAATTCAAAGAAGTGGAATATAGAGGAGTTTGGAGGAGTGAATTAAGCCAGCACCACAACTTATATAAATATAATACCAATACACACAAAAATTGACGACGTCTCTTGTCATTCTTAAAAGTCAATAGGAGTTGTAGCAATTTTGAAAGAAAAGTAGCACGAGAAATAATCAACACGAAACAATTTAAAGAACACGAACGAATAGTATAAAACTATGTTTATTTCTTGATCTTTTGAGTTGGGTGTGAAAGTAGAATGCTAATTGTACTAGAGTACAAATGTGATGGGTTTTCATCTTGATTTACTTAAAATCGATATTACGTCTCTTATACAAGAGATGGTGGTGGTGTATGATGTATTAGATTTCTAGACTTGAGAAAGAGAAAATTGCAATTTGAATTAGTGAATGGACAAAGACAAATTCAAAAATGGAATTGAAAAATATAATGTTGATGTTCAATTTCTTTGCATTCAAGCGAAAATACAATAAATAATTTGGAGCCACCTAATTTAGCTATTTTTATGCACCAAACAAACAACTTTTTTTTCTCTTTTTCCCCCTTTGTTTGAACAAGTTTGGTTTGTCAATTGATCCTTAAAGTTTTGCTGATGACAAGTACTCTAGTATGGAGAATAATTTTGTACTCTAACTGTTTGTTAAAGTATGCATATATTATTCATAGATTATGGATTCTAAACATGCAAGGTATGGACTCTGAACAAGCAACTCTAACTTCGGAGAAGTCAATTTTGAATGCACTATATGTTGAACTAAGCACATATCGAATCTGAAGACCAGCAGAATTTGAAGACTGTCGAAGTTTAAGGATTGGCATTATTAGAAGTAAGTAGATTCTGATGTAAGGGAATAACTTTGAACTCTAAAATAGCTTCATAAATATTTATGTGAAGTTTATGATTCAAAGGGATAACGTCTGAAATAAGATCTTGAAGAAGCAGCAAATCAAATATAGAATTTGGGTTATCAAGTATATACATCTACAAGAATTTATCTAGAATATATATAAGATATACTCTAACTCTTTACGAATCTGATATCTCAAAGCTCAAAAAACTTAATATGATCAAGCTTCACCTCAATCTATCATAAGACTCTGACTCAAGAATTTAAGTATAAGGAAAAAGATAGTGACTATAGACTTTGATCAAGCTTCACCATATTATATCAGAAACCTCTGACTCAAGAATATTGCTATGAAGGGAGATAGTGTGAAAATATTATTAAAGTACAAGATTATATGACTACAGTACAACATCATATTCACTACCTACAAATCAGGATAAAGGACTATACAATATATTGTTAGTGCTCTCACACATCCCATCATTTATCCTAGTGCTGCAAGCACCACTCTACTTGGTTTTTTAGCTAATGTATCCAACACCTATTTGTTGTATGGATACTCAACTTCTCCTTCTCCAATTGATCTATTTTCTTTAGCTATTTAAAGAGAATTTGGAAGATTGAAATAAAAGAAAAAATATGTAAACAAGATACATAAGAGAGTGAGAGACACTGATAGTGGAGAATGAAGTTGCATAAGAAGAAGATGTACACATGAAGAAGAATATATTTGTGAAAAGTAAAAGAACAACAATGAGCAAGAAAGAAAATCATATTGAAAATGCATATGCACGTTAGAACATGAAGAAATCACATACATGCAAAAGTGAACAAGAAATGAAGAAGATCAATTAAGTTAAACAACGAAGATACATATGAATTTGAAGAAGAAAGTTAACACGTGGCTAATGAAGGCAGAAAATAATATCCAGAAAGATATGAAGAGAAAACTATATGAATATCTTCAAAGAAAAGAAACACACAAGATGTTTATTTCAAATCTTTTAAGTGTTATACTCTAAGCTTAAATTTGTGTATCAGTTTTTAAAACGCACTTTTTAACACAAAAATCTTGTAATCTTAACCAAATTGGTTAATTTTCTTGAGGGACTAGGTTAGGTCAAAATCCTTGAGAAGTTAATAACAGTTGTTATTGAGTTTGTTTTCCTTGAGGGGTCGGGTTAGGTTAGAATCCTTGAGAAGTCAATAATAATTGTTATTGAGGTTGATTTCCTTGAGGGACTAAGTGTTTATTCAGGATCCTTAAGAAGACTTAGACGGGTAGTCTTTGTGGTTGTAATCATGGAATTTATTATTAGATTAAGTCCTTATTACTAAGACAATATCACTCTTGTGGGTGGACTGGACTAACCTAGTTAACGGTGACCAAGATAAAAATACATGTGTCTTTTATTATTGTTGATTGCTTTATGTATGAGTATTGTTTGAAGTTTAGGTCTTCAAAAAGATTTTGTTCTAGAAACTCAATTCAAATCCCCGCCCCCATTTTTGTGTTTCATTGAATCTTCAATTGGTATCAGAGCTCTTATTGTATTATTTGTGAGTGCAACTTCACCATTAGATGTTTTACATGGTGTCAAAACTAGAAGAAAAAAATGTAGCATTTTTGTATATTAGACGGTATCTTTGTGTCTTTTGGCGCACCCTTGCATTAGAGGTCTTAAGAAACATTCAAAATAAGTTTGAAATTGGGCAAAAGCATGAAGAAGAAAAAATGTTTTCTGCATGAAATATAATAGCATGTGCGAGCACATCCACTTTAGGCCAACGCATGTACTGCAATATTGAAGCATGTAAGCTATGTTTGCATGTGCCGACACATAGTGTAACACCCTTGTATACCCTACATAAAATCACGATTAATTTAAGAATATTTCAAAATAAAATCACCGCACAAGGATATCATACTTCATAGAAAATATCATAATAACCATCATGCCCTATAACACAG